TATAATCAAGACCAGCATCTATTTTATTTTGGCTTCTGTATTATATGGCTAAGTTTATTTAAGCACAAAGGAGACAAGATGCCTGTGGCTTATTTACAAGGCCTCCTGTGGAGATCTGCATGAAAGATGTAGACATCAGACTACAGTATCTGTATTAGTTGTATTCTCAATACTGCAGCAATATTTTATTATGTTTGGTATTGCAAAACATTGTATCCATTCAGTAGTATTTACAAGAGGTTACACATGGATAGTGACGGTATTCCTTGTGGATTACCTCCTGAGTGTTTCTCTTCTCTGAAGCCTATTTATCATCTAGGTTGAGGCCTGAACCCCCAAGGTCTGTTAAAGCTAATGAGAAGTAGATGGATACATTTATGTATGTATGGATAGCAGCAAGGGGCAAAGCCACCTTTAATTAGTACAAAATAATTTCATTACCTTTTTATTTTCACTTCTAAATCCAGCTGCAATGAGACTTTTTTTTTGTATCTCATTTGCAGTGCAGCCAAGTACTAGCCCTTAATTTTAGGGACCACGTGCTAAATAATTAATCTTGCATATTTTTTTAAACTGGCATTCTAATTAATGATGTATAGCTGTAATGCTTGATTCACATTAGTTTAAATTTTTATATATTTATAAAACAAAAGTTTGTCATTTTAATGGAAAATATCCATTAGTACTACTAACTTTAAAAGTTTAAAAATCTAAATGATGAAGGCTGACCATGCTTCCAACCACTTGAAGGATTTAATATTCAAATGTGCATGTGTATTTACAATAAACTTAGTTTTTACATGCACGCTACCTTTCCAGAAGTTTAATATTCAATGCTTAAGATCACTGCCTTTTAATTCTAGGTATTATTACCTCACCTCGGGAATGAGAAGTTGACTAGTCAGGTGTCCAGATGGGCAAGTGACTAACTGCATAGATAGGAGTTTTTGTGTATAATGAAATGACTCCATCCTAATATTTTTTGTGTAGCACATTAGTAAGTAACATGCTGTATAGCCATCCTGGTCTAGTGCTTTCTTTTGACAATTACTTGAATTACAGTAGTAATTAAAACATAATTTATCAAGTGATGGCCAGTCCTCTGACTAAACTAGGTCTGAAGCAGATGTACCAAGTTCTCCAAGAGCCTATAAACACCCATTCATCCCTGGTGCAATGAAGCAGTTGGTAGATCACAACTTGTGCACTGCTCCTTTCACAACATACCAATGTCATTCATGAAGTTTACCACGAGGATTTCATTAAAATTAAACTGTGGGTTTTAAACCAGTCTTATGTTTTGCTAGCAATGCTATAAAGTATAGTATATCTAAAAGGTCAACCATATGCTGGATTTTGCTAATATTGTACTTGTAACCAGAGAAATATGAGAGAAAACCACTACTCTTGCATAGTACTTTTGATATATGGAGTTTGTGCCATGACAGTATATTTTGAGTACCGTCACTAAAAATACAAAAAGAAATTTTAACCAACATAAAGTGTCCGATTCAAAGCTATTGAAATTTATGTGAAAGTGTGAAAGCTGTAATGTTCCAGCCCATGTATGCAACTGCTCAATGACTACCTATTAAAGTCAGTGGATAGTGATGCCACAATTTTCAGTAACTAATGTACTGCCAGAAGGTTTAGTGTTACTGCAATTAATTTTTTTTTTTTACAATTATTTATGCTATATACCAGAATATCCTTACAAATGATAGGATATTGGTGTAACTTGGTAAAGCAGGTACTGTGCCAGATGTTAGTTACTTAGCATCTGATGTACTTGGCTGTAGCAAACTTACCTACAAACTATTGCTAAGCAAGCATTATCTGTATATCTTAATTCTTTAAATACAACAAAGAATTTGCCACAATAATGGTGTATTATTTCCCTTGTACTGTACATTTTATATACAGTGTATATATATTATATATGCATATGTCGTACCTAGTAGCCAGAACGAACTTCTCAGCCTACTATGCAAGGCCCGATTTGCCTAATAAGCTAAGTTTTCCTGAATTATTATATTTTCTATAATTTTTTTCTTATGAAATGATAAAGCTACCCATTTCATTATGTATAAGGTCAATTTTTTTTTATTGGAGTTGAAATTAACGTAGATATATGACCGAACCTAACCAACCCTACCTAACCTAACCTAACCTAACCTATCTTTATAGGTTAGGTAGCCGAAAAACAATTCATGAAAACTTGGCTTATTAGGCAAATCGGGCCTTGCATAGTAGGCTGAGAAGTGCGTTCTGGCTACTAGGTACGACATATATATATATATATATATATATATATATATATATATATATATATATATATATATATATATATATATATATATATATATATATATATATATATATATATATATATATATATATATATATATATATATATATATATATATATATATATATATATATATATATATATATATATATATATATATATATATATATATATATATATATATATATATATATATATATATATATATATATATATATATATATATATATATATATATATATATATATATATATATATATATATATATATATATATATATATATATATATATATATATATATATATATATATATATATTATATATATATATATATATATATATATATATATATATATATATATATATATTATATATATATATATATATATATATATATATATATATATATATATATATATATATATATTATATATTATATATATATATATATATATATATATATATATATATATATATATATATATATATATTATATATATTATATATATTATATATATATATATATATATATATATATATATTATATATATATATATATATATATATATATATATATATATATATATAAAATATATATATAATATATATATATAATATGGAAGTTAATCAAAAGCTGTATAAGCCATGTGTGTGTAAGCATAAGACTAAAAGTCATTTTGGTGGAATACAATACTATACTATATCTTCAAGGAAGAAACTGACATAACTGAATATTGTAATCAAATAAATATTCGATATTTACTTTGTGTACAGTATTTTGTTTTAAGAAATTTAGTTGATAAAGCAAGTGTAATTTGCATCCCGTGTGTGTGTATTATATATTAACATTTGTCAATATAAACTATAAGCATATTCCGATACAAGAGTACTGGAGTACTAAAATAAACTTAGTTTTCTTTAATTTTATTTATAGTGAATAAAGCAGAACATTTGATGGTATACTGTTTTCTGGTACCCTGACAGGACAGTAAACACAATATTGTTTATATATTTTGGATACAAGTATAGTTGAGGACGACGGTGTTGTAAGGCCAGTCTGTGATGTGCTCCAGGTTGGTCGCAGCAGCTCTCTCCATTGTCGTCGACCCTAAATCATCATTCATCATCGTCATCATCAAGTGCAGGTCGTGGCTACTGGCCGAGGCAGGTCACAGATGGTGCATAAGATGCAGCTGTCAACCAAGTCCACCTGATGAGATGGCCGAGCTGAGGTAGGTGAGTTGAAGTGTTGTTCCTGGCTGAAGTTCAGACAGCACGCTGGACTTGTGATCCTGTGGTCCCGGGTTCGATCCCAGGCACCGGCGAGAAACAATGGGCAGTTTCTTTCACCCTATGCCCCTGTTACCTAGCAGTAAAATAGGTACCTGGGTGTTAGTCAGCTGTCACGGGCTGCTTCCTGGGGGTGGAGGCCTGGTCGAGGACCGGGCCGCGGGGACACTAAAGCCCCGAGATCATCTCAAGATAACCTCAAGGTACGTGGCTAGGTCTAGTGCAATAATCTCTAGAGGGTTATCAAGTCTGCAACAGTTGCTTACTGACCAAGCTGCAAGATTAACTTTAGTCCTGAACATAGTCCAAGACTAAAGCAAATAAGTGTATTATAACCCAAGATTGATTGATAAAGATTAAGCGTTTACGGCTTGGGCGGGTAGGCGGTTCCATGGGTTAATAACCCTGTGGGTGAAAAAGCATCTCCTGTTCTTCAGTCCTACATTGTGGCTTGTTGATCTTAAAACCATTGTTCCTTGTCTGTGTTACATCTGACCTTTTGAAGAAACTTTCCAGATCAACATCCTCCAATGTGTTCAGTATTTTAAACGTTTCAATAAGATCCGCCCTGTCATGCCTTGTGTGTAGTGTTGTTAGCCCCGTGGCCCTCAACCTTTCCTGATACACGAGTTGACTTAGCTCTGGAATGACTTGTTGCCTGGTGTTGCACTTTCACCAGAGCACCTATATCCATCTGAAGATGAGGTCTCCATGCTTGGATACAGTAATCTAAATGGGGGCGCACCAGAGATTTATACAATTGAATCTCTACCTAACTTTCTACCTAATGAGTAACACATTTAACTTACATATGTTCATAAACACACTTATCTTACGGGCACTTAATGGAATGCTGCTCTTCTCCTTATTATCAAAACTGCATTGTTCCTCATACAGTCGTGTATCTCTGTTGAAAATCCTCTGATTTTCAGGACGTTCGTGTCTTGCAGTCTTAAAGAGCACACAGTCCCTTGATTCAATTCTTGGTGAATCTGATACCTTTGATATATCACTTGCCTTGTGCACATGTGTTCTCGTATTGGCTAACTTAAGTGATATTTGACGCCCTTTGAATATCCTGTGACTTTGATGGTGCTACAAAGCTTCCCCAGCATGCTGCTGCCTTTTGATAATTACTCCTGTGCCTCATCATGGCCGCTGAACAGATGGTGGCCCTCAGATAAATGGCTAGGTGTGTTCAATGTATAATTAGAATCACGAGATGTGAATAAATCTGCTGTGTATATTGTGATACACTTTATGGTGATATATTAGAATATGTTTAGGAGCAATTAATGAGCTTTGTTTACCATTTTCATGGAATTAATGGCATAGATAATCTAGCCGGATAGATGTAATATGGTTAATACTCTGGCAAGGAAGCAAGTCAAAATTCAAATACAAATTTAAAATCATATGCTTTATTGTTACTGTATTTTGTCTGATAAGTAATTTCAATGCTACATACGCCCATGGATACAAGAAATTTGATGCATAAAGTTGATATTTAATGGTAAATATACTTTTAAAATAATTATAATGATGAGATAAAATGCAAATAGATGCTAGTATAATTTATTAGTTTTTTATAAGAATGAAGAGCAAATCTAGAATTTTACGCCACACCACTATGAAATTTAATATCACTTTCTCTAATTAAAGTTTGTATATCAAGATAGTAAATGTAAAATAATATGCTTGAAGTTATCTCATGAAAATTAAACTACATTATTCCGTCTTTTTACTTTCTGATTAAAACAAATTGTTTTAATTACAAATAATCTACTTTAACAGAATTTACAATATATTTAGTTTCATAATAAAAAAATTTGCAATGCTGTAAAAGATAATACATGTTATAAATATATCAGTTTACTTCAAATATAACAATTTAGTTCATATATAAAAGATACATTCATCATTCACCCGCTGCACGCATTCCCTTGTAACAAATATTAATAAATTTACATTTACTGTATTGTTTAATACAGTACTATCATGTATAGTATATTCATGCAGTATATTTTATGAAACTATGTAAAAAAAATTAAACAATACAGTATTTTTTTACTTCATTATTAAAAAAATATCTCTGCAGGTGTAATTATTGGATAACTTTTTCCAGTCAAAATGAAATGATCTAATATATATTGATTTGTTTTGCACAATCGTCTTCTATACCTTCTAATTACAATAGATTGTAATTAGGCTTAATTACAATCTGTATGTAGAGAAAGATAGTTAGAAATGTTAAATCCTATTAATATATAGTAAACCTAGTTTTTGTTAAATATACAAGATTTTTCATTGTGCTAATTTGACGAATGCTACCTTTGAGAGTCCTATGTCCCATACTTGGCTAACTTTTCCTGTAATAGTGCCTATGTTACTCCCCATTGAAAGTCTTGATTGTTAAACATTTCCAAGTCCTAACCCCTTCAAGTGAAGACTTGTACTACCCCTCCCCCCTCCCCCACCATCAGTTCTGAAACTCCTTTTCCCTGTACAAATTTCGCTGACTTTCACACTATATTGCTTTGTTTACAGCGAGTCAAAATCTGCTGATGGATCAAGCTGATTCATCCCTTATGTCTTTCCTGATTTTGTATATCCTTTGTATAAGTCATTTTTCGCCATAGAAAAGTACTTTTGTTGCAGATCTTTAAGCAATTTTATATGTTCCGAGCCAGTCAATGACTTTTGTGATCGTTTGGTAGTGTAGATGGGTTCTGTAGCGCAGTGATCTGTGTCCTCGACTCGCAATCAAGGAGTTTGGGCTGGACAAGTTTCCTTTCACCTCATGCAACTGTTCATCTAGCAGTAAACAGGTACCCAGGAGTTAGGCAAATGTTGTGGGTTGCATCCTGGGAAGGTTCAAAAGTTCGACCTTGTAGAGGGGGGGGGGAGACCTCGATACTACCAGTATATACACAGGGCTGTACTGTGTATGTACTGGTAGTACTGTGTATGGATGTACATATACTGTACATACACAGGCTGCTTGTCCCAGACGAAATGAATTACAGTTAAATTACTGTGAGTAATAAATTGCATGCAGTACTACCAAATGCAACCCATCACCCATACCTTTCCTTCTGTCGTCAAAATAGGAAATGACTGTCTTGGTTATGTATTGACTACACAAAATTAACCTCTGGACATATTATAGAACAAAAAATCCTCCATCTTACTGTTGCAACAACATTGTTCTGCTTATAGTCACTCATCTGGTGGAATGTACTGATTTACAGGATGATCGGAAATTATGCTTGTCTGCGGTTTCTATTCATCACGTCCCTCGATAAGGTCCAAGGCAAATCTGGCTCCTTTAACATCAACCATTCCTGGAGCATACCTGGAGAGGGTTTATGGAGTTCTTCGACTCCCCAAGTCTTGCCTAGGGTCAGGCTTAACAAGTCTATCAGGGCCCCTTTTCCCCAACAATGCGAGACCATACATAAAAATGGCCATACTGGCTTTATACTTTTTATAATTGCTTACTAGCCTACTAAGGACTAGTTGTGAGGTTATTATGGCAATTAGGTTTGACATATAAAGTACATCCACTATATATCAGGACAACATATATACTTTGAATACAAAGAATAATAAAATGGTATACTATACTTGCCTCTAACACACACTACTTGTTGCCAGCCAACGAGCGTGCATGTTACAGGGAAGGTGACGTTACCAGCACTGCTCGCGAAGCCACCCATGCAAGTTGCAGTCACTGTATCACCAACCTTCCACACTCTGGACTGCCAGTCCGTGGTCGCTAGTGACACCTGTGGTGCTGTTTGGCATCCTGTGTTACGGAACATGAGAACATTAGAATGAACAAAGAAAGCAAAGGGTCTCATCTTAATGACCCTTATTCTGTCCATTCTGGACAAACATGGCAAAAGTGAACTGCATTAAATAAGTTTTCAAACAAAATTGGAAGCCATGTGGATTGAGATTAAATAATCACAACAGAACTTATGAGAAGAAATGGAGTTATATAAAGGAAAAAATATATAGGCTTACCTGGTATGTAGGAAAGGGGCCTAGCCCATACCATTACACTCTTGAGAGTGCTGGACCCCCACACTGGTGATGCAGATGTTAGCAAGCCCTGAACAACGAAACCACACAAGTCATCAAGAGTCATCAGTCACAGGTGAACACACAGTCATGTGTATGCTGAACTCTTTCATAAATCAATGCTGATTTATGAGTTTCAATATTTCAACACTTGCTCTGAGATTAGTATATATTAGATTAAACAGAGTTGATTTATGAAATCTTTCATAAATAAGTTATAAATAAATAAATTATCATAATAAGAGCAAACGTAGGCTATGGAGAGGGGAGTAAAGTTGGTTACATACAGTTCATTAGGTAGTTTTTAATTTCCTTTTGAACTAGTTGAGAGAACAACCACCTTTTAATTTCATTTTGGAGTTTATTCGATAGTATGGGACCCTTGATTTGCAGAGCATTTCTGCTATGGTTAAATATCATGCTTGGAATATCAGAAATATATGTTTCTCGTGTGGTACCCATGGATTCTGTTACAGCCCTCTAGGAAACACTTAAGGTCAGGATTAGCATTACAGTGCAGAGTTTTATAGATGTAAGGTACACTTGAGAGGATGTGCAGTAACTTAATTAACGTATTCAAATATTTTAGTACAGGTGATGAGTGCTGTCTTCGACTAGTTTACAATCTTTTTGATAATCACTAGTTTTACTAAATTGAAACCTGGTAATTACTAAATTTAAAACCTGATAATTCCAACTTAGTTTAGTGTTCTGATAATCACTAGCTTAACTTTACAACCTATATGTAATTACATAATATCAGAGGCTGGTTCAGAAGAGGCTATATGTCCGTGCTCATGCATGTTCTACATGATTGTGATGGATGTTTCAGGCACAACAACAGTACAGGTGCTGGTATTATTGAGATACGGACACAAGATTTGAAAAAATGTCGAAAGATAACTCACATTTTGACAAGTGGAGGAGTTAGCACCACTACACCACCAGCATGGGCCGCTGCTTGATGTATTATTGCAGAAGCTGCTCCCCACAGTACCCGATACTTGATCACCTGTAATGAATAATGTCATTAGATATACATTATTACCATAAATACCTTATTTGTATTATAATATTTATATTGAAATTTAAGAAAACAAAATCTTCTTAGGGGAATTTAAGAATTTTTGTTGCCTAGGGGAATTTAAAATCAAATTTTAGAAGTAAGAAATAGAGTATACACTTTAAAAGTCTTCTTACTAGCATTTCCCAGACACTGGCCGACGCTTTGGAGGGTGTAGTTGCTGGGAGTAATGACTATGGGGCCACAGGCAGTACTGGTCAATACAGCATTCACGTCCTCCAGTACAAACTGTGGTCAATACGTGTACACAACATTAGTAACCCTACTAAACACCAATTTCATTATTCAGTGCTATATCCTCAATTACAAGCTTCGTAGGTTGTGACTGAAGATGATTAATTGAATGTTAATGATGATACTGGCAAGAGCTAAGTATATTATGTTTTGCTAGATATCAGAGCTGCTTGTAGATTAGCTTTTCTGATATTTTAGACCATTCAAGAGTAGAGGCAGTCGGTTTAGTAATTCTTGTAAGGTTGGTGATCAAGGGTTTGGTGACCACAAGGGTAAGATGTTGTTGTTGTTTAAGATTAGCTACCTGGAACAAAAAGTTCCAAGTAGCACGGGCTATGGTGAGCCCGTAGTGGACTTGAAACAAAAAAGGGTAAGAATTTGTACAATTAAGGAAACTAGCAACTTAGAGAGTTATCAAGCTGGCAGAGGTCAATATTAAAATCACCTGATAGTATATATTAATTGATTTTTGTTATGTTTGTTGCTTAATATTAAATTTCTAAGGTTAACGTTAAATTAAAGTAACATCTCTGTTAGGAGTTGTGCACACTGCTTCAACAGTTAAGTCAGCCTCAGCACTCTTAACTTTCAATCAACATAAAACTACTTGAACTTACAAGTTCAAGTAGTTTTTGACATAAACTTGAACTTGACATAAAACTTACTTTGAAAACTAGAGGTTCTTGGCTGCCATTCTGTCTCCAATTAAGACCTTCAAGGTTCTGCAGACCTGCAATATAAAAGGCACAAAATTAAGTATGTTTATTTACCTGAACTCACTTGAAGGCCACTATTTCTCTAGCGGCCTCGACGAGGACAGGAAGCCGGTGGCTTGTCAAAGGTCCTCCCCCATTTATCCTGATCAATATTCTCAAATTTTAAAATGTTAAAATTCAATTCAGTTCAGCAGTAGCAAGAATGGGGGAAAGTAATCAAAACATTGACTAGTAATGCAGGTTTTGATAGAATGCCTGAACATAAGTGGTTGCTGTCTTTAATTAGCACATGGAAATGTAAAAACAATTAGCTCTACTCAACTTTCATTCATATATTAATTCATGTTACTTTTCTAAAAGCCAATCTTTGTAGCGTAATTTGCCTTCATCATTTCATCTTTTCCCTTTCTTCTATTCTCCTGAACTCCATCACTATTTTTCTCATTCTTAAACCAATTGGCGAGTTGTCTTTCCTGGAGAACTAGCGAGCTAAGACTTAACATAAGTTATGTAAAAGGAAGGGAAAGCTCTAAGTCTGCTAACAAGAGTCAGACTTCATCTGTATCCACCCACGTCAATAAAAAACATTCTAGTGTGATCTAAAATTCCAACTCTTGACACACATGAGTCCGGAACTGACCTATAAAATAAGACGGGTCCGTGATATTATTACTGGGCTTCCCGACGACCTCCATATATTGCTGGGGTGTAAGATAGAGGTCTTGAACCTGGCTCTGGTGTCGTAGTATTAAGGTCCAGCCCCCGTCGGCACCTTCCACCATTGTAGTAAGGTCACACATCGCCTGAAACACGGTATGTAGCACTTTATATCTGACACCATAAATGATAACTATTACCCAAAGTTACAAGCTAGGTAGTAACTATCATCATCAATCGACTAGTAATCTGATATCATTAGCAGGAAAGGCCAAATGCTCGTTAATTCAGCCGCCAAATAAATTCAAATCCAGCCGCCAAATAAATTCAAATCCAGCCGCCAAATAAATTCAAATCCAGCCGCCAAATAAATTCAAATCCAGCCGCCAAATAAATTCAAATCCAGCCGCTCGTTAATCAAAGCCTCTCACAAATTTGCAGGGGGAACGGTCTGTGGTGAAACATGGACACATCTGGGTTGGCCTAAGTTAAATGTTTTAAGAAATTTTAGCATTTACAGACACCCCGGGTGATTTTCATTAAGTGAAACACGAAATATTTGATGTGATTCCTCTAGGATTCCCAATGATTGCAAAAGTATATTTTCTGAGAGAATGGGGGAGAGAGGGAAAAATGTGGGAGAGGAATAGGACGAGATGAGGGGCCAAGAGGGAGATGGGGTGAAGAGGGTGGTAGAAGGGGAAAGAGACCCGGTCAAAGCCGGGTACCCCTTCTATATATATATAAATGGAAATGTCCATTTATATATAGGTCAAACAGGTTGAGGTCCCTCCAACCTCAACCTATTTGAGGTTGGAGGGAAGAGGTTGAAAGTAGGGAGCTAGGGATGAGAAGGGGAGGATGGGGAGAAGGGAAGAATGTAGATGAGAAGGTGGAGACGGGGTGGGAAGAGGGAGTAATGAGGGGAAAGAGAGGGGGGGGGGTGATGTGAGGAGAGAGAAAAAAAAGATGTGTGGCGTGTGGGAGAGACAGACAGACTGTCCCTGACACCACCGGGTAACCTTCCAAGTACAGAACATACAATAAACTGTTGTTCATGTTCAAGTGTTAAATGTTCAAACAGTAAACATAAATAGGCTTATCACAAAATAATGAACACCCGGTTATTACATATATACACATATATGTAAAGCAGTCCCCGGCGTTCTGATATTCCAGCGTGTTAAATGTCGGTTGCAATATTCCAACACGTTAAGTTACACTTAGCAATATGCAAAAAACATCGTTGAAAGCATAAAAAGTGACATCAATAACAAGTTAACTTCGTATTTATAAAGACCTTTGCGTCAAAATCTGTTGCTTGAGGTTGTTAAGGTAAACAAAGTGTGATGGTTGGTGTTACTGGTGGTGGTGGTATAGGTGTTGCCGGTGGTAAGAAGTGTTGCTGGTAGTGAGAAAATCCACTAGGATAGGTTGGCGCGAACCTACGACCTCAGCATTGCCAGTCGCGTACTCTACCACTAGACCACTACTGACTAGTAAAAGTCTTACAACCGGATCTCTACTGAAATCACAGGAAGTCTGGAGGTCCCTACTGAAGCCAGTCCAAGTTTGTACCTATGACCCACAAGCACTCTGGTGGGAGGGTAGAGTGGCCCCACACCCTACGCCGCCCCAACTTCAGAAATTTCACAAATCCACTAGTCCTGGTGGATTTTCTCATTGATATATATCACGTTAATACAAATCCTGGAATGCGTTTCTATGATGATTTTTATCTTTGTATATCTTTTGTTTCTCAGCAACGGCTTCTAGACATAAGTGAATGGGTACAAACAAAGTTATTTCAAGTTTGATTAATAGCATTACTATTTGATTATTGTCATCAGCAAACCTAAGGAAGAAGCTTTAAAATAATTATTTAATGTAACTGAGACTCGAGCGTCTTTTCTTATGACTTACTATACATCATAGAGAGTGGCAAGCAAAGTACTTCTGCACACTCTTTCAATACCCATGGTGAGATTCCGTCCGGACCAACAGCCTTTCTCACGTCCAGATCCAACAGATTCCTCTCAACCTCATTTCTGGTAATTTCGAACCCTTCCAAGGCATCCTGGTTTACTGCCACCTCTCTTAGCTCAAGGACTTCACCTCGTTCTACTGTGAAGACCTGGAATTTCTTGTTGAGTTCTTCACATACCTCTTTGTCATTCTCTGTGTACCTGTCCTCACCAGTTTTAAGTTTCATCACCTGTTCTTTCACTGTTGGTTTTCTCTTGATGTGGCTGTGGAGCAGTTTTGGTTTGGTCTTGACTTTATTTGCTATATGATTTTCATAATGTCTCTCAGCTTCTCTTCTCATACTGACATACTAATTCCTGGCTCTCTGGTATCTATCTCTGCTTTCTGCTGTTCCTGTTATTTCGGAAGTTCCTCCACGCACTTTTGTTCCTTTGCTTTGCTTCCATACATGTTCTATTAAAGCATGGAATCTTCTTTTGCTTCTCATTTTTTTTCAGTTGGGCCGGAATAAACCAATTTTCTGCCTCCTGACACTTTTGGGTAACATAGTCCATCATGTCTTGTACGGTTTTAGTTCTGAGTTGTGTCCCATGGTGTTTCTCTTAGGAATTTTCTCATCTCATAATTTCCTTTTCGATATGCCAGCCCCTTGTTTTCTAGTTCTTTTTTTTGGGGAGGGGGGGGGGGGGGATTATTCCTAGCTCTACCAGGTACTCAAAGATCAATACACTGTGATCAATCATTCCTAAGGGTGCTTCCAACTTAACTTCGTTTATATCCGACTTATTCAGGGTGAATATCAGATCAAACATTGCTGGTTCGTCTTCTCTCATTCTTGTCGGTCCTTTGATGTGTTAGCTTAGAAAGTTTCTTGTTGCCACGTCCAGCAGCTTAGCTCACCAAGTGTCTGGTCCGCCATGTGGGTCTCAGTTCTCCCAATCTATCTTCCCGTGGTTGAAGTTTCCCACGATTAGTAGTCTGGATCCGTTCCTGTTAGTGACAAAAGCTGCTCTGTTATATTAATGATAGCCATGTGGTTTCTATTATATTCCTGTCTGGGTCTTCTGTCATTTGGTGGAGGGTTATAGGTATTCACCTAGTTGTGATTGCGGGGATTGAGCTCTGCTCTTTCGGCCCGCCTCTCAACTGTCAATCAACTGTTTCTACTACTTTTTTTTCCACACCAAACACACACCCCAGGAAGCAGCCCGTGACAGCTGACTAACTCCCAGGTACCTATTTTTACTGCTAGGTAACAGGGGCATAGGGTGAGAGTGTAACACTGTAAAAGTGTTTGGTTTAGTTTATTTAAAATATATATAGTACATGAGTTACAGACAAGGATTGGGGAAGGCGCCAGCTTGGTCGGCCTGAGTTTCACACCTCTAAGAGTTAATGACCCCAAGTGACCTGAGGTCAGATCATGCGAATTTCACCTTACTTCTACTAATCTCATAATTGGAGCCTGGTAGCCTTCAAACATGCCGACGTTTAAGGAGTGGCTTGGTAGAGAGCCGGAGGCTATCTACTTGTGGGCGGAGTTAGCTATTAGGAACTCTAGAAATGTATTCTAGAGTTCTCTCTAGAGTTTCGGGTAGCTGATCCAGTTACGGCGCCTTGTAGTCTTAGCACCTAGGTAGTCAAATACCTAGGTTACAAGGTGTTGAACGAGAGAGGTTGCCTTAGGAACTCTGGAGGTGCTCTAGAATAGTTAGCTAACTGGGGACGGGATAACGAACTAGAGAGAGCTGTTTCCCCCGGCCTCGTTAGTTAACTGGGGGGTGGAATAATGGACAAGATAGAGCTATTTCCCCCACCCCCCGTTACAAGAGAAACTCGGCCCATCGTTTTTCGCCGGCGCCCGGGATCGAACCCGGGACCACAGGATCACGTGTACAACGTGCTGTCCGCTCGGCCACCGGCTGTGTGTGTGTGTGTGTCAAGGTCCGGTATGAATTCATTATATATGTAGTAGACAATAAGAATAAAATATATGCAGTGACCGACGTATACTGAACCGTTTTCTTCTAAACTGCTGCAACTCAACATTTCCAGGATCATTAAATTTTCACTCTTTGTGAGTACAAGTACCTCAATATTATAATGTATTTTCAAATTGCATGTTCCGGACAAGGAATTTATTTACACGAGAAACGTAGCTCATTTGTCGGTGTTTTTACACTGTGGGTTTACGTTAGTCTTAGATAATTCTTGACTAATGTTCACGACAAATTATATTAGACAGTCATTAGGCTACTAAGGTGGTCATACAAACCCCCCCTAAGGTTACGAGGCCTTAAACCCAACACCAAACATGAAAGCATGCTACCAAGTGTCACCCTAGGTTCAATTCCACCTCCACTAGTGTCTTCAACAGTCTCACACTTTTACCTCCACGAGGAAGTGGTGTGGCGGAGGCAGACTCCAGACAGTTTCAAATGTAGATATTAATGAGCTCGATAGCCTCAGGAACCTGTAAACCAGTTGATTGATGGTCGAGAGGCGGGACGAAAGAGCCGAAGCTCCACCCCACAAATACCACTAGGCCACTAATACCACTAATGTCTTCAACAGAGCCTCACCATTAAAGAACTAAGTTGTTACATATTTAATGCACCGACTCCCCACCTTCCAAACGCATTGGTGCTTGCATTGATCAAACTCAAAAAAAGCATATTATTTAGCATTTGGTGAAGCATAAATTTACACAGAGAGAGAGAGAGAGAGAGAGAGAGAGAGAGAGAGAGAGAGAGAGAGAGAGAGAGAGAGAGAGAGAGAGAGAGAGAGAGAGAGAGAGAGAAAGACAGACAGACAGACAGAGAGAGAGAGAGAGAGAGAGAGAGAGAGAGAGAGAGAGAGAGAGAGAGAGAGAGAGAGAGAGAGAGAGAGAGAGAGAGAGAGAGAGAGAGAGAGAGAGAGAGAGAGAGAGAGAGAGAGAGAGAGAGAGAGAGAGCGAGCTAGCGAGAGCGAGCTAGCTAGCGAGAGCACGAGCACGCAAGCAAGCACGCAAGCATAGAATGTTTTGTTGTAATGAACATAGGACAAAAGTAATGTTTGGTGGGTACTCACGGTAATAGTGGTGTTGCTGGGCCTGATATTGTATATCTGACCATTCATGTTAGTCAGGTTGCTGGCAGCGACCTCAGAGCAGTCCCGTGGTACTACACACCACCACCCACACCATGGAAAGAGATGGGTGGGGGGGGGGGGATGGAAAAGGAGCGTTGAGCGAAAAGAAAGGACAGAACATGGGGAGGAGGAAGAGTGGCACGGACAGTGGAAGAGGGGAGAAGGAGCAAGGAGAGACATCGACATCGATCAGTAATTTTATACATTTTTCTGGCAATATCCTGCAGTATCTAAGGTATCTAACTCGAACTCTGAACCTAACCTAATACCTAGTTTAGAACTATCACAGGTAAAGCCATGTGTCACTCATGTGTCACCAGTCATTGATTAAATTCTATTCGTAAATGATTTATACAAATTGTTACAACTGTAGCTGCACTGAACAGGTGTCCACCCGGAAGAAACCCTTTAAGCTAACAAGTAGTGATGAGACTTGTTTTGGACCGAATATAAGATAAGGCTACGGTAGTTTACATAGCCTATGAATTACAATTAAAAAAGCATACACCAATAATCATACCAATATGACTGCAAGACATATATTGTGAAGAAAATGTTGCTTACAGTACTACCTTATTTCAGTTTACATAGTAAGTATATATTAGATTATTCACATTTTGAAGATATATTTTGAGACCAATAGAAAGGTCATCGGCGAGGTGGTTCCCTGATTTTAAACCTTGAGTTTACTTTAGTACTGAACATTTTCAGGACTAAAGTTTATAATAATACCAATAAGAACTTTAGGTTATTTAAAAAATATATATACAAAAGAATAATATACAATGGTTTAATAATTGTTATAGAGTATGTATCTTTATTAATAAGACCAGTAAGTTATGGCGTTTCTGCCAGAACTTAAAATATGTCAGTAGGGTTTAGCGAAATATTCAGTCTACCTCAACTGTGTAGAAAGTTTTGTTCAGGTAAATGCTTAATATTATACAAGAAGTAAACTAACATAAGCATTCTTAGAGACAGTTAGCACATGATATACAACTGTTAATGAAGGCATAATGGAAAGAAACAGGAGAAAAAGAACATGTGTTATTGAATGATACTTAACATTAAATGAGAAATTGTAACATTTATGAATTGTGGCAAGATCTGAAAATAATTGACAATTATACAGGAGACATGTAAACAGCCGTTTACATGTTATTAATTTTAAAATTGTAGATGACACTTAGAAAAAAATTACATACCATTTGTTATGACATTTCGAAAAGCAGTATATAGTAACAGTATATATGTAGTAATTAAGAATTTAAGGACAAAATAACAGCAAAATACAGGTTGACATGGGTGAAGAGAGGTAGTGAAGGAAAACTAGTTACATCAAGTGAATAACGTAGTTCTTAGTTTCCATTTTAAACTGGGCGGGCGGAGCACAATTTTAAAATTCCTTAGGGAGGTCATTCCACAGTTTAGGATCTTTTGATTTGCAGAGCGTTTCTGCTTTGGTTAAGTCGCCCTCTTGGAAATAATTAAAATGAAAAGATATTTGTTCCTCGTGTGATGCTCACTGGTTCATTCGCTGATTTATGTTGAGTAATTAGGGATCAAAGGTAATTTTAGATTGTAGATCCCCAGGCACTGATAAGAAGTATTTTGCCGCTTTTTAGAAGAAGAAATGGTGGGTAGTGGTCTGTTGAACTATAAGTTATTATTCCAGAGGTTTGTGTAGAGGTTAGGTTGGTCCTGGTCACATTCCTTATGACATCACTGTTTTACTTGCTCATTTCTCCTTAGTATCTCGTATGTCGTTATCATGTCTGCCCTATCCCTTTTTTTATCGTCCGGTGTAGTGAGCTCCAGTTCCCCAAGTCTTTCTTCACAATTCTGGCACGAACCTTAATTGTTGCATGTCTCTTGATGTTCCTTGGTTTCCTTTTGTGTTTCTTTGTGTAAAGGGTTCCGTGCAGGAGCAGCATACACAAGAATGGGTCTCACTGGAATTATAGTCTTTGAAAGTGGTCTTTTGTCCAAGTTGTTAATATTTATCCAAGTTCGGACGTGTCACGGTGATACAGATACTGTGAGATTGTTTTGCTATGCCAGTGACATGGTAATACTGTGACTGTTATTGAGAACTATGCAAATTTATGAGCTAGAAAAAAGACGTTTGTTACTGTGCATGACCTCACAAATTCTAAAATGTGTGGTAGTGCAGGCAGGCACTACACCCCCATGGGCAGGAACACAGTAGCCTCAGCACTGTGAAATCTCCATTACATGATCCATAAGCTGGCCAATTGTCATGTACCACACTAACAATAATAATTTAAGTAGTTAAGGTGAAACCATTCTAAATGCTCTTTAAATAGTTTTGTCCAAAGGTCTTGAGAAGATATCTATTATAATGAATATAATTGTATAGTATAAATAAAATATTTGGTGTAGATTACAAAATTGTTAATACCAGTAGATGAATTTTAAAGGATTTACTACGACCCATTACAACTACCATGTCACGTTACCAGCGAACTTATACAGTTTGCTTCAAAGTTAGCAGCGATCGAAAAAAAAACTTGAGGCTACTGTAAACAAACTTTCCTCAACACCAACCACCCAAGGTTCCTCATGAACTTGGGAACTTTTGCCCGAAGCGTGCTAGTGGCTTTACAAGAATGTAAAATCATCATTGCTATGTACAATGTACAAACCGATCGCCACGACTGAAAGAGCAGAAACCCCTGCGCCGGAGAAGAGCATGAAGCTCCCCGACCCGACCCCCGGAGGCTAAACCCCCAATGTACCTTCTTGTATATAAATAAACTGTGCCAGCAACTCACCCTTAACACAAGTGTCATTAGTGGTGACCCAAGTGCTGCCTGTACACTGCACGAGGCCGCCGGGCGCCCCAGACGCCGTCTGCCACCCGTCCATACACTCCCAGTACACAACATAGACGGTACCGGTACTCAACGTGAAGTTCTTCACCATGCTGGCGTTGGGGTCAAGTGCTGGCGCAGGACCGGAGCAGCTCACAGTGTTGCTTACTGACGCAACAATAGATACATAAAACACTAACAGGTTTAACTAGGCTAGGTTTGTTTAAAATTTGTCGCTATAGGCGACACATGGATAAATTACCATGCGTAAAATTATCTAGTATTAACACGAACGCACACAAAAGAACGGAGGCTCGTAAAGTAGCCTATTGCTTCTTGAAAATATAATAAAACAAAAACTTACCATTACAAAAGCCAGGAGATGCCCAGGAGGGCCCGCCTGGATATGTGAGGACAGCGGTGATGTTGGGTGCCCAAGCTTGGGCTGAGTTATTGCATATCCATACCCAAGCTCCAGTCCCAACCTGAGTCAACGTCGCTGCTGGTACAGCTGTCGTGGTGGGTGCTTGTGTGGTAGTGGTGGTTGGGGCTTGAGTGGTAGTGGTGGTGGTAGTTGGTGCTGGTGTGGTAGTGGTGGTTGGTGCTAGTGTGGTAGTGGTGGTTGGTGCTGGTGTGGTAGTGGTGGTGGTTGTTGCTTGTGTGGTAGTGGTGGTGGTTGGTGCTTGTGTGGTGGTAGTGGTGGTTGGTGCTTGTGTGGTAGTGGTGGTTCTAGTCATTATAGTGGTGGCAGTAGCAGTAGTTGTAGTAGCAGCTGTTGCTGCAAAGAAATTAAAAAAAAAAGTGACATTAACAATTATTAAATTAAGAAAACAGATGCCTGAAAACTTCAAGACAGCAAAACAAACTAAAATTTCTGCTTGATGGAAAGAAAAGCCTCTACTTCGATGGCTCTCAATGCAACAGTGACCCTTGATGTCTGATTCTTCAAATGCTAATTCATGAATAACCGCAAAAATAAATAAATATGTCGTTAAAAGAATTGGAATGGCCTCTAAATATTCAAATAATTCTATACTTTGAGTAGCCTAATGAAGGACTTTGGCTGGTATTGTTGACTAGAAGAGAGGCAGACAGTGTTGACCAACTCTATAACCATCAACAAACAAATTCCAATCAAGTCAGTTACGTGTGCAGCAAGCCCTGCTCAATATCTTTACGTGTGCAGCAAGCCCTGCTCAATATCTTTACGTGTGCAGCAGGCCCTGCTCAATATCTTTACGTGTGCAGCAGGCCCTGCTCAATATCTTTACGTATGCAGCAGGCCCTGCTCAATATCTTTACGTGTGCAGCAGGCCCCGCTCAATATCTTTACGTGTGCAGCAGGCCCTGCTCAATATCTTTACGTGTGCAGCAGGCCCTGCTCAATATCTTTACGTGTGCAGCAGGCCCCGCTCAATATCTTTACGTGTGCAGCAAGCCCTGCTCAATATCTTTACCTGTGCAGCAGGCCCTGCTCAATATCTTTACGTGTGCAGCAAGCCCTGCTCAATATCTTTACGTGTGCAGCAGGCCCTGCTCTATATCTTTACGTGTGCAGCAAGCCCTGCTCAATATCTTTACGTGTGCAGCAGGCCCTGCTCTATATCTTTACGTGTGCAGCAGGCCCTGCTCTATATCTTTACGTGTGCAGCAGGCCCTGCTCTATATCTTTACGTGTGCAGCAGGCCCTGCTCTATATCTTTACGTGTGCAGCAGGCCCTGCTCAATATCTTTACGTGTGCAGCAGGCCCTGCTCTATATCTTTACGTGTGCAGCAAGCCCTGCTCAATATCTTTACGTGTACAGCAGGCCCTGCTCTATATCTTTACGTGTGCAGCAGGCCCTGCTCTATATCTTTACGTGTGCAGCAGGCCCTGCTCTATATCTTTACGTGTGCAGCAAGCCCTGCTCTATATCTTTACGTGTACAGCAGGCCCTGCTCTATATCTTTACGTGTGCAGCAATTATTCAACCACCTGCCAAATCTCTCGGTAGCGAGGCTACTTACTGGTGGTAGTTGCGGGAAAGTCACACTTGTTGAGGCTCGTGTCCCACACAGTGCCTACAGGACAGGGCATGGTGGTCCATTTTGACATGGTGCTGCAGAGCAGGTACTGTACCGTGCTGGTTGAGTCGGCCACCATTGTACCGATGGTTGTGCACGATCCCCCGGCCACGGGCGCTACGGAAAGCCAGAAAGATGTTATGGAAAGCAATATTTGGAGAATAAGTAGATACATTAGTAAATAAGACGGTGTTGGGTTAACAGCCAAGAGTAAAGGTAAGACATTCAAAACGCTTTTGTGTATTTAACACATTTAAGTTCAAGTTTATTGAGGCAATAAGATACATCTCAAAAAGGTTAGAAGAGCTTAGGCTATTTCTACCCTCTTATTTATCATATTTGGTACTGGAGATTCGCTAAGAGTTATTAATCATTAAAACAAATCACAGTTCATTATTTAACCCATTATAATGCGTGAAGCAAGTCTTCCTAGTACTCACTAGTGGTCAGCGGCGTGCCACATTTGTTTAGGTCCGACCTCCATGTTGTGCCGGAAGGACAGGCCATAGCTACCCATATCATGGCGGTACACGACAGGTAGCCGTTGGGGTTGTTCGGGTCTGCCGCTGTAGAGCCAGTTGAGCATGATCCACCAACAGTGGCGCCCGTTGATCCTACGGAAGCAAAGAGGAACATTCGGATGTTACGATGTAGCACTAGGGAAGGGAATTATCAGGAAATATCACTTGGAAGGATTGAGGATTAGGATTTCGGATAGAAAGGAGGGACAGAATGGTGCCCAACCACTAGGAAAGTAACATATATATTTTCCTCGTCAGCACATACGAATATGTCGACGACATATCTAAAGTATATACTAGGGCTAAATCCATCCATCTGAAGGGTAGACGACGTAACGTGAAACATAATGCCTGAGCAAACAAGATTCTCAATGGGGGTGAGTCCCACTATATCCTGTAGATATGTCCACGACATATTCGTATGTGTACAATGAAATCACAACAACGTGAAATATCAATGAGAAAATCAGTAAAGCCAATCAATTCGAATCTACATTGTGATTCAGAGGAAATATCTGTTCCATCCATGCTGGCTTTAGAATTTCTAGAATTAAATATATCAATAGATACCCTTCTCCGGGACACAGGTCAAGACGATGAATACAAGCAACAAAAGGTGCCGCTTCATGGTGCAGAAACTCTATGGTGCTCCCGACTGAACAGTGGAGCACTTTCCTCACGTCTCAGGCCCGTGTGGCGAATGAACACGTGCACGGCTGCTCTTGCGTCTCGCCGCTTATTGGCCTGCTTGATGTTGGTCTTTCTTCGTGTCTCGTCTCTGATTGGTTCGCTTCGCCGTTGCTCCTCCTATACATGGCGATGATTGGTTCGTTCGTCCCTGCACCGCCTTATTCATGCTAATTGGCCCACGTTTAGACGGTCATGTTTGCTAGGAAGGAGGAGCCCACATTGGTCAAAAAGTGACGAGCGTCATATAATTAATGCAATTTCAAGATATGACGTGCTTTCAGTTGCACGGTGCTGGAAGGGGAGGGGTGTGATGCATGTCATTTGGTACGTGATACATTTCAGCTGTGATGCATGCCTGAACTCACCCAATCAACAATTATATACACAAATCATAATAAATATCCATAAATTACTTCTCACGCTGCACAGGAACACCGGTGTTCAACACAACGTCATATAATATAAGACTAGTTGGGTTGTCACCTGTATTTAGCCTGGCTGTCCAATCTCATGCTCGGTGAACTAACTCACGCGAAAATAAACGCAATAAGGTAAGCGTTTTTATTCAACCTGGTTTAAGAGGTGGGTGAATTATAGAGCGTTTTATAAGTCTCATGAACTTGAATGATTCGTCATGAGGTGCACGACAACGGGCCCAGAGTGCATGTCGTTCTGGATCTCGTGGAATAATTAAGTATAAGTATAATTGGCATATTGATTTACCAGTACACGTGACGCAGTTGTTCGCGGAGCCTACTCATCCAGTTAATAGCCACACTCCGAAGCGTTTAACCTTTTTTGAAAGGAATTTACACCCACGTCGTAAATGCTTATCACCTTTGGACTAAAATAATAAATGGTCACTGCAGGTTTTATTGATCCGATGATCGATTGTTGCCGCATGAGGCAACTAGGTTATTGTGCACCCCATACTCATCCTGTGAGCAGTTGCTCTAAAAAGGATTATAGAGGGCACAAATAAGGCATCTCTTGTAGTAATCATCGCCGGTATATTATTGTGTTTAAGCAGTATATCTCTACTTGTATTCTTGACATGCATCTCATTATGTATAATCATTTACCAAGCATATATTCATTTACTCCACTAATGGGAATATATATATTTACAAGTATACACACAGTATATTAATTCCTACATTTCTCAGCACCGCCCGAGCCCACACCGGCGTCCCCGCCCGCCTTCATAGCCTCATAACACCGCTTATCGCTCAAATTTTCAAATTTACAAATTTTATGTTAAGTCACTTGTAACTGCAGATATGCTACTTACAACACATGTATTCCACAAGATTGATTGATTGACGAAGATTAAGCCACCACAAGAAGGGGCACGGGCATGAATAGCCCGTAAGTGGAAGATGTTTGGAGTGAATGTGATCTATTCCACTAGAGGCTTCTACCATCTAACTTCCGGTAACAGCCCCATTCCTGTGCCAGGTAAGTCCACGACGGGCTCACCATAGCCCGTGCTAGTTGGAACTTTTTGTTCCCTGAATCTAAAATAACAACAACTCCCATCTGAGACATTATCACTTGGTGAGGTGGTCCCGTGACACCTGTTCCGACCGGTCTTCACAACGGAACTGCTCCTCTTCTCTCACTTCTGCCTAAATCTCAACTCAAAATCCACATCTGGTCACATGTCATCTGGCCCTCCAAGACCATAACCCCTCTCCTTTCTGGTCGTCCACCAATTCTTGAAGTACCGCCGCCCCTCATATAATAGGCGGCCGGTACACACAGGCCTCCAAGTGTCGCTCTTCAGCCGCTGTCGGCGACATCGGAGTCTCTCCTCCCAACCGGATTTAATTGGCGCCACTCTCAATGATAGCGACAATTTGGCGTCCCATATTGTCTGCACAACCACAGCTTCAAACAACATTTTAGTAGATGTGGTCGCTGGTATACCATTGTAGTAGATGTGGTCTCTGGTATACCATTTTAGTAGATGTGGTCGCTGGTATACCCGAGTTTATTGGGCAGCGCCACTCGTCCTGTGAGTGAACACACCGCCATAGCAGCATGTATAACATTCCCCAATAGGAAGAAAACCCGCTTGTTCATCTTGTCACTTGTACCCAGACACAGCTAGACTTGCTTAACTGTATAAAGTGAACAGCTTATCAAACAAGATTAAAAAGAGTGGCTTGTGAAGTCAGACCCATCATTGGTCAGCAAGAGGGAGAAGAGGCATGGTATGTGGTGCCAAGGGCCACACTGGTAACTGATGTGGGATTGTAGCAGGAAGAGGAGAGGGGGAGTGTACTCACCTAATTGTACTCATTTAATTGTGCTTCGCCTGTTTGGTC